CTCTCTGAAAGTATCGCGCGCTAGACGTTCACTGCCAGATTTGGTTGCCATTGTGTTGTGGTTGGTTTTTGGGCTTTTAAGTAGGGACTTCGAAATCGTTTCTGTTCAAGGAGCAAAACGGAATCGTTCAAGAATCAAAATTCAAGAAACGAAATCAAAAAAAAGCAAAACGAAATCAAAAATTCAAGCGAAACGAATTCGTTCAAGAAGCGAAAAAAATTCTTTTGAAGCGAAAAACTATCTCATCGAAAAAAAGGTAGTTTGATTGGAGTTCAAGGGGCACTTTTGAGAAATTCCATCGTTGTTTTTGCCAGTTCGATTTGTTTTCTCCTTTAGCCTTTCTTATCGATCTTATTCATTTAAATTAGTAAAAATTATGACTATGCATTCATTTGCGTAGTCATTGTGACGACTAGATAACATGGTTTGGTCGTAGGATTGCGGGAATTTTGTCAAAGAATGGTAAATTTGAAGAATTCGTTTCTAGTCTCATTTTTTCTCGCTTTCTAGGGCGGCACTGATCTATTTGAAATGGCGACAACCAACAAAAGATATTATCCTCAGTCAACTGGCTTGCTCATCAGTGCTAACAGTGATTGCGTTTGCGGTCGCATTTCTGCCCAGGAAACTGCTGCATCGAAAGCGTCCCAATCGTATTATTCACAGGTTTTTCACTACTTTGATGTTCTGCACCTCTGACAAAAATCTTTTTCCGTCGGATTTTTTCATGATAATCGAAAATTGGTAATTGTTTGATTGATTTGACCAGTGAAATTTTGACGAATTCACTGATAAGATGAGCTGTCCGTCTCTTTGATAGCTGCGTATTTGGACGGTATATTTTTATAAATGATATTGGTACACCATTCGGTTTCGAGCAATATTTTCCTCCGCGATGTACGACAAAAGTTTCGCACGAAACTAACTTAGTAAAGTAGCTAACTTTAGTTAATCAGTAATTAGCCACATTATCAAATTACTTTAATTTACTATTATAAACTTTAATAACTTACTATTACCAAATTAATTTGAGTTACTATTCCCAAATTATATATCATTAATGTTATGAGCCTGAGCCAGCAGGCTATGATCCGGCTTGTATCTATTATCTAATTATCTGGTATATTTTCAGTGTATTCTCCCTAGCTAGCACACCACTATCACAGTGCAGCACTGCCTCAACTCGCTCATCGCCAAGCAATTCCTCGTTCTGTCTCAACAACCGATCCATCAATCGCACATTCAAATCGCCGGCCAGAACGAACGCATCCAATGAATCTGCAATGAATGGTTTCGGCGCTCTCAGTACTCAGAATCAGAATCGTCCACGAGCCACAAGAGAGGGCACACCGTCACGTGAGTTGGGCAGTTTATTGGATGGTCTTCATTTGGGCGATTCCGGAGGAAGAGAACAGTCACAGATGAATGCAGGTCAAGATCATAGTCCACCACTCTCATCGGTTTCCTCTTGTACAACATCGTTGAGACGAAGACGGGGTGAGTTTTGCCAAGGGCTTTGAATCTCTTTCGATTTGTTCAATTTCATAATGTATTGGTTTCTTTGCATGTAAAACATCTGCACCGTGCGATGAAAAGTTTAGCCTAACTTAGTGAAGTAGCTAACTTTAGTTATTCAGTAATTAGCTGAAATTACTGTTACCAAATTACTTTAATTTACTATTACCTTACTATTACAGACTTTAATAACTTACTATTACCGAATCACTTCAAGTTACTGTTACCAAATTACTTTAACTTACTATTATTTTACTGTTACAAACTTTAATAACTTACTATTACCAAATTACTCTAACTTAGCCTAACGTATAATTCCTGTGGTAACCTTCAGCGCCTGGTAGTGAGATCTGAATTGAAAAGTTTTTAATATGGTCAGATTATTCACAATCAGGAGATTATTGTGGAGGTTTCATTGTGTTGGCATCGGAATTTCAGGACCATTCGACTCAATGAAACGTCCCGTGCTGGCACCACCACGTTTCCGTCTCGGTAATCAGCAACCGTCGATGTCGCAGTATTCTGCGTCGAATCCATTCATGTCGTCATCACGC